GTCGGCCTCTCGTTTTCTACGCCGCCAGGTTGACGGGAAGTGACAGGACCAGCGTCTCATTGGCCAGCGCTGGGGGGCGGGGAGGCAGAATTCAACATATTAAGGCCTCATTGGTTAAGAGGATGCTCCTGAACCAATCAAATACGTTTCCGATGGACTATTGCTGGGGGGAAGCAAAGTCGCTGGCCGCGGGCCTCGCAGCCGGGAAACCCACCAGCTCCACGGGCAGCTTCCCTGCGCAGGGCCCTGCAGGGCGCAGGCTGGGAGGACTTCAGGAGCCTCGGGGAGGAAGGGCGGGGCAGGAAGTGGATTTAGGGCGTCCCGCAGTTTGGATGACCAGCCACAGGCCCCCGCAAACTGAAATACAAGCGCACACAACACATGTCCAACTACACAGAGAGGCAATGCCACATTCTCTTGATAATGTAGATGCAAATAAGGATTGAGAGGCAGGAAATATGAGCATTTTAGCCTGAAAATGGGTCTGAGGAAAATATATTCATGACCTAATTTCCTAATTAGAATTGACTGTTTATCCCATTTATTTGTTCAACAAATAAGCCATTGGGTTACAAACTGGCATCAAATCACACGTACAGAGTCTGGGGAGCATGCAGATTTTTGGAGTCAAACCTAATTCAAGCTTTGATGTGATCTTAAATTAATCTCTGAGAGCTTCAGTTTCTTTATCTATAAAATGGGTATGTTGCCTGCCTATGGAGAGGTCAGAAGTTACAAATGATGTGAATGCTTGGCACTGTCTGGCTTCTAGTAAGTGTCCTACCTGCTGATTCCCTTCCCCTCAAATCTCTTCTTATGCCTGTCCCCTCCCACTCCTGCATGAGCATGAGAAAATTATACCAACAAACCGTCCAGGTCAGATCTAAGATGGGATATTTTGTAGAATGTGTCCCCAGAGGTCTGGGTTCCACTCAGGGGGTGATAAGAGGGAAGACACGAGCCGTCCTCAGAGAGTTCGCAGCATGGCCACTGGGACGGTCAGGTGAGTGCCGTGATGGAGGAGGGGCACCTAGCACAGCGAGGGGACACAGCAGTGCTTTTGGGGGGGGTCCCCTCCACTTCTAGAGTAGGCAGCACGCTGCAGGGGTTACTTGGAGAGCAGCCTCGGCAGGAGGAAGAGACCATTTCTGCTGACTCAGCTCTAGGGCTGTTATGCAAAACCAAAGTAAAGGTTGAGCGTCCTCTGTCCTGTGCACCAGAAGGTTGCCAGTTAGGTTCCTGGTCAGGGCACATACCTGGGTTGCTTGCCTGGCTCAATCTCCAGTGGGGCACGTGCGGGAGGCAGCTAATGGATGCTCCTCTCTCACATTGATGTTTCGCTATCTCTTCCTCTGTTCCTTCCCCTCCCTCTAAAGTCAATAGAAACATTAAAAACACAATAAAAAACAACCAAGTGGCATAAAGAGAACAGACTTGAAGCTGGAAGGTCGCACTGTGAGGAGCTGAGCAGGGCCAGAAGGGGTGGTTTGGGGAGAAGCCACCGTCTAGGCGGGAAATATTGAATGGGAGAGAAAGAATTTTAAAGGCATTTAAACGTGCATCGACACATGCCCTTTCTCCATTCCCCCCTCCCTCACCTCTGATGTTTCCTTGAGAAACTAAATAGATATTTAAATTATTTTAAATTAGTTTTTTTATTTCAAGGCTGGGTTTCTTCTACTGTGTTGGCGTCTGTCATGACTGGGCCACTAGGGGCACAGGATTTATTCAGAATATGGAAAGGCAGGAGGCTGTGGTGGAAACCAGCATATCGGAATATACATTTTCAGAAATGTAACTGTTCTAGGCAATGGTGAAGTCCTGGGTGTGGCCAGGGTGGAGTGGGGGCGGATGTTCTTAGAAACAGGATGTAGGGCAGTTGTTGGAAGGTGGCAGGCAGAGAGGGGGGATCGAAGGTGAAAGTCAGTTTTACAGGAACCAAACACCATGGAGGAACAATTATCTGTCTAAATCCTCCCTCCCTACCACAGAGAGCTCCTTAAAATCCAGGGCTTTTACTCGGCTCCTACATGGTGCTGAAAATTTAATTGTATTGAATATCTGCTGTCTGCCTGCACTTTTCTTTAGTTCTCACTAATTATTACAAACCCCTTAAGATGAGGCTCGTCTGTCAGGTGACGAGCCTGTTGCTCAGCATCACGCCAGCCCCGCTTCAGTGCTGGCCTTGCTGTCGAGCCCAGGGTCTTCTCATTTTGAGCCTCCACAGGAGCCTCAGTTTCACTGCGTCTAAACTTTAACTTGTCATCTCTACTGTTTTCCCCAAATGTGCCTATTCTAAGTTTTGTTTTTCATTAAATGGCACCAGCACCCACCCAGTGATGCACACTAGGAATCCAGGTCATCTCGATGTCCTCTAACTTCTCGACTTGGCACAGCTGGTCAATCGCGGAGTCTTGTTTGCCTCCTAGAGTTCTTAACGGTATCCTATGTTGAGCAACCTCAAAAACAGTCAGGAGGCTTTGGCCAGAAATAAATGATAAAGATTTATTTAAGGGTATTAGGGTTTGCAAACTAGAAACACAACTAGGCAATACCCAGAATGTTCCAAAGAAGAAAGAAAAGCTCAGTGTTCTTATAGTAAAAAGTACACTTTCAAGAATCGTCCTGCATTCTTAGGCCCTGGACTAGTCCAAGACGGTGACCCTGTACATGACCAGTGGTCTGACTGATGGTGCCTGGAAGCTTGGAGAAGGGAACGTTCTTGTTTTGTCCTTCAGGGAGGTTTGATGTATGTTTGGGCATCGATGCAGGACTGGAATTTCAGACACAGGCTGCTTAGAACAAGAACAGAATCATATCCACATGCCTCAATCTACCTGACTTTAGTAATTTAGCACATCTTTCCTCAGGTCTCACTAATATTATGTGCATGAGTTTTCATCTCACTTCTTAATTTTCTACAGTAACCTTTTAAATGGTGCCCCTGCTTCCAATTAATGCTCGACCAGAGTAAACTTCCTAAAGTTCTGACCTTAGGACTGTCTGATCACAGCACTTTAATGCCTTCCTCTTGCCCTCAGGATAAAACCCAACTCTTTTAATGTGGTT